AAAATTTGTGCAAAGATCGATGGCACAATGGAAGACACAGTTGCAGATCAATGGTGAGAGGCTGGGAGAGGTTAATATCAAGAGAGGAATATTTCAAGGAGATTCATTATCACCATTACTATTTGTTATTGCACTGTTTCCTCTGTCAACAATACTGAATAACTCAGGACATGGCTATCAAACATCAAAAACATCTGCTAGACTATCCCACCTCCTTTACATGGATGATCTGAAGCTGTATGGAAAAACATCATCTGAAATAGAATCGCTGCTCAACACTGTCCGTATATATAGCCAAGATATTGTAATGGAGTTTGGCTTGGACAAATGTGCCACACTTACTATCAAACAAGGAAAAATAGTGAAAACTGAAGGAATCAAGATGCCCCACGAAAATAACATTAAGAGTCTGGATGAGGAAGAGTACTACAAATACTTGGGTATCCTTCAAGCTGACAACATCAAGCACACTGAAGTCAAGAAAAAGATTAGAGGTGAATACATCAAGAGAGTGAAGAAGATCTTAAAGTCCAAACTCAATGGAGGAAATACCATAAAGGCAATCAACACCTGGGCAATCCCAGTCATTAGGTACACAGCTGGAATAGTGGACTGGACTCAAGCAGAACTAAAAGCAATGGATAGGCAGACCAGAAAAATAATGACAATGAATCATGCCCTTCATCCACGCAGTGACATTGATAGACTTTATCTACCAAGGCAAATAGGTGGGCGTGGAATGCTACAAGTACATCAGATGGTTGAAGAAGAAAAAATGGCTTTGGAAGAATATCTGAAGAACAATGATGAAGATGCACTGAAATTAGTATATCAGGAAGGCTTACTAACTACTGGAGAGACCAAACTGGCCTACAAGAAAGACCAAATGAAGAACAGAATAGAGGCATGGGAAGACAAAGCACTACATGGCCGATACATGAAAAAAATAGCTGGGAAAGCAGATAACAATAAAACCTGGCAATGGCTAAGAGCAGGAAAATTGAAGAAAGAGACCGAGGGACTAATTCTGGCTGCACAAGACCAAGCCTTAAGGACAAATGCATACAAAGTCAAAATTGAGAAGACAGCAACAGACAGTAAGTGCCGCCTATGCAAAGAAGCTGAAGAAACAGTGGACCACTTGGTAAGCTGTTGCAAGAAGATTGCACAAACTGATTACAAGCAGCGGCATGACAAAGTAGCAACAATGGTGCATTGGAAGATCTGCAAAAAATATCATTTGCCTGTAAGCAAAAACTGGTGGGATCATAAAATAGAGAAAGTCATAGAAAATGATAAAATTAAACTGCTCTGGGACTTCAGAATTCAAACAGACAAGCACCTGCAACATAACACCCCAGACTTAACAATTGTCGATAAGAAAGACAAAAAAGTCTGGATAGTGGACGTGGCAGTGCCTGGAGATAGCAGAATAGAAGAGAAAGAACTGGAGAAGATAACAAAATACAAAGACCTACAAATAGAAATAGAAAGACTGTGGCAAAAGCAAGCAAGGGTAGTACCAATAGTCATAGGCTCCTTGGGTGCAATCCCAAAACAACTGGAGCACCACTTGAACACCATTGGCATTGACAAATTCGCTATTAGTCAATTGCAAAAGGCGGCCTTACTAGGAACTGCTTCCATCCTGCGACGATATCTGTAATACCATCAAACATCCACATCTGCCTATCCCAGGTCCTGGGTAAGGACTCGATAGGTAGACAAAATGCCAAATCCAGTCTGAACATCTGGCTGACTGTGCGATGATCGATAATAATAATAATAATAATAGTAATAGAATTGGAAGGAATCTTGGAGGTCTTCTAGTCCAACCTTCTGCTCAGGCAAGAAAAGGTTGTCCAGTCTCTTTTTAAAAGCTTCCAGTGTTGGAGCATTCACAGCTTCTGGAGGCATGTTGCTCCACTGGTTAATTGTTCTAACTGTCAGGAAATTTCTTCTTAGTTCTAGGTTGCTTCTCTGATTAATTTCCATCCATTGCTTCTTGTCCGGCCTTCAGGCGCTTTGGAGAATAGCTTGACTTCCTCTTCTTTGTGGCAGCCCCTAAGATATTGGAAAACTGCTATCATGTCCCCCCCTCATCCTTGTCTTCATTAAATAGACATACCCAATTCCAGCAACCGTTTGTTTATATGTTTTAATCTCCAGTCTCCTAATCATCTTTGTTGCTCTTCTCTGCACTCTAGAGTCTCAACATCTTTTTTACATCGTGGTGACCAAAACTAGATGCAGTGTTCCATGTGTAGCCTTAACAAGGTGTTATAAAGTGGTATTAAAGTGGTTTTTCTTTATTTTTCCTGCTTCAAATATGATTAATTTTTCTAGTACTTCATAAGGCTTGTTTTGGAAGGAATATATTTGCTCTCTTTGAATGAATCCATAGCAGATAAAAAGTGAGTTTATTTACCATACTAAGCTAAGCTAAATCTTCAAATGGAGCCTGTTGGAAGTTACAAGACTGAAATTTGCTATTTTTATCATATATTGTTGTGGAATGTTTTATATAAAAGACACTCTATATAAACCTAGGGGGAGCTGACTCATTCTGCTTACAGACCAGGCTTGGAACATTATATTGTTGATCTCTAGAAGTGAGCGCTGAATCATTAAGCCTAGTAAGTGTTTATCCAATCTTCATATACAGTAAAAGCAGAGCAACAGCATTATGTTAGAGAAAGTAAGTTGGGTCTCTGAAAGAATCTTTGTATTGTCTGAGGAATGATTGGCTTAAATTATTGCAGCAGCATGATCAAATAGCTTTGCCAGGATCTTCCCGGTGTCTGTAGCTGCATATGCTACAGGATTTCATGTGGGTTATTATAGGTGGAAACCTGAATTAAGATCCTGTGAGTCATTACTCAGCACAAAGAGGTAATCCCCGAGTTACAAGCATTCACTTAACACTTGTTCGAAGTTACGTGATAAGTGCCCCCTAGTGCTTATGAGCAAGTCCCGAAATTACGAATATTGCAGCACCATGGCAGTCATTCACCCTTATCAGCGACCACAGAGGCTCTGCAACATTCACCCTGGTTATTCCCTTCCTCCCCACCCCCACCCCGGGTTTCCCTAGGCACCAGATCTTCAATAGTCACCATGTGAAGTTCGAGATCCTTCACTTTCTTGGCTGCTCCAGGCATTCACAGAGAATGGAGGCCTAAGAGAAGGCCTGGAGAAGGCCTCTGGTGCCCAGATTGGGCCACCGGAGGGCCATGGAAGCATCCCCCGGCCTCAGATCCAGGCGGCAGTGGCCTGGAAAAGGTCTCTGGCACCCAGATTGGGCCACTGCAGGGCCGCGGAAGCACCCCCCCCCCAGGATCAGATCCGGGCAGCAGTGGCCTGGAAAAGGCCTCCAACGCCCTGATCCAGCCTCCGGAGGCACATGGAAACATCCCCCAGCCTCAGATCCGGGTGGCAGCAGGAACCATGGCAGAGAGGAGATAGATCTTTTAAAGGTGAGTCCAGCGCAGCAGGAAGGAAGGGGGAAGTATGAGGTATCTTAGTGGGTCGGGGAGGCCTTTGGGTCCTGTTCCATCACTAGGCCCTCCACAGCCTTCCCCACTCTAAGATACCTCATGTTCATTTAACGAGCTGCATGCATCTTAATGAGCAAGGGAATGATCACTTCCACAAGTTTTCGAGTCACAAGTGGAATGGGCAGGCTCCATTATACTCGTAACTCAAGGTCTACCTGTACTTAGGAATGATTCAAACTAAGTAGGTTCTGTGTGAGTTGGGTCATCTGAAACATAAATATGCTCCATTATTGTCTTTGCGTTATTTACTTACTTCCTGAATACCACTGTGAGTATTCTTAAATATACCACAGCTAGTTGTAACATTTTTGCTACTAAGATGTCCCCTTCACCCCTAATTCATAAATTATAGAAACTGGAGTTGCTAAATCTGAGAAAGTTTAAGTGGATGATATAGCTATTGAAAACCTCTGGGTCACAAATAAGGAGCAATGTGTAAAGTAATGACTTTATTTGCTTTGAGGAAATCATTTTGGGATGCTAGGATTGGATATAATTGTAATCATTAAAGTGAGGCAAAGCTAAATATGGAGAAGAGTAGAATTTGTACTTCTTTTTTGTCTTTCTCTCTGTTTCTGTTTCTCCTTGACTGTCTCTCTCATACATATGCACACACCTGCATACACAGTAGCTGTGTATTTGTATAGAGCTTTCTAAATATATTCCATTCTTGAATTTTTGGAATTTTTAGTATCTAATAGAAAATATTATTTCTCTCTACCTATCATCCTCCTGCTAGGCAATTACTTAGAAAAAACAGTGAATTCTTTTACTTTCTAAGAAATCTAATACCTTCAATTTTCCTCCTTAATTATAGCTATTAATAAGTGAAAATGAGCATGGTATTTATAACAAGAGCACAGGGAGTAGGTATGAATATGTAATACTGTCTTATTTGGCACAAAATGTACTTTCAATTTATGTTAGACCAGCAATAATTCTCAGTCTCAGGCAGAGGTACTTCTCATGTTCTGGTTCTTAAGGGGCTAAGAATTGAATTTGGGACATTAAACATGCAAAATATGTGCTTGGCAAATGAGCATCATTCCCAGCCTCATACAGACATTTAAATATGTCTCTATACTTGAATTTCACACTGAACTATTCAGTCTGCCTCTAAATACTGAATATTTAAGATTATATTTTATGAATGGGTCCACTTGCTGTTGTAGACCAATATGTTTTCGAAATATGACTCTAAATTATTATTCTGTTAAGGAGACTTAATTTTCTATTAAGATTATTTTGAAACATAAAATAAAAAAATAATATCACAACAAGCCAATGTATGATTATTCTTAGTTGAACTGGTTTTAGCACTGAATTTGGGTTCAAAACAAGTTACTGGCTACTCAATTTATTATTTCTTTATTTTTACTGACAAGAAAGAGGAGAAATATTTCTGGAATTTTCTGCTCAGATACCAGTAATAACTTGGCTTACCTTATGTGTTGGTATATTGATTGAGGAGGAGGCATAGCATCTGTTCTTCCTTGTCATACAGCTTGGGGGAATCCTGCTTATCATTTATAGAGATGACATGCATCATCTATAATCATGTCGTTTTTTTAAAAAACACTTTTTTAAAAAACACTTTTCTCCAGAGATGCCTACCTGTTGGATAGAGGTGGGTATCAACACATCTCCAGGTATATGTTGTTGCTTGCTCTTTGGCTTGGTAGAGATAAGCTACACCAAAACACTAGAGGCTAAATATACCTGTGGGATTAATAGTAATGCATACTTTGGTGACATTGAATAAAGTGTGGTTGCAGTTTTTTTCCCATATTATAATGGCTGCCCATGATTATAATGCAAATTTCATTTGTATTGTTCTCCTAGCTAAAGAGACATACAGATTAAATATCTTCTTTTGTATTGTGTTTCAGCTCACAGTACACAGAGAAGGATAGTTTATTATTCAAGTAATTCCAGCTGGTGCATGTCTGAGAAAAATGTGAGGTGGTATGTCACAAAATATAGGTAGTCCTTACAACAGCTCATTTAGTGACCATTCAAACTTAACAACAACACTGAAAAAAGGGACTCATGACCATTTTTCATACTTAACGACCATTGCAGCATCCTCATGGTTATATGATCAAAATTGACTCATTTTATGATGGTTGCAGTGTCCCAGGGTCATTTGATCACCTTTTGTAACCTTCTAACAAGCAAAGTAAGTAGGAAAGCCAGATTCACTTCACCATATTACTAATATAACAACTACAGTGGTTCACTTTACAACTGTGGCAAGAAAGGTCATGAAATGGGGCAAAACCCATTTAACAAATGACTCACTTAGCAACAGAAATTTTGGGCTCAATTGTGGTTGAAAGGTAAGGATCGCCTGTATTTTATATTGGCTATTCCTTTTCTGATTTCTTGTTAATGGGTTATAAATTAAAGCTAAGATGCAGATTTATTCAGTAATCAATTTGATCCTGAAGTTTTTATCTGCCCCTCTTATGAATTTTGAAAAATCCTTGAAATAGCTTCACTTTCTAAAGTATTATTTTTTTCTCTACAGATAATCTAATAAAAGCCATCTTGTCAGTAACAAAGAATTACCACCTTACTTCAACCCTTGACAGGTGAGTAGATTTCCTAGTCCTGGCCTATGAGATATACAGTATGTATTGCTTCAGAATTAATAAGGGTAGAGAAGAGTTCCTATCACAGCTCTTGGAGTTTATAAAATAGATCTTTTTCTACAGTAGGTCTAATGGCATTTGGGAATGACAGTGGGAGAATGGGCCCAGTGAGGTCAGATAAAAGACAACATAGTCCACAGCTGGATAGTAGGTGGGCAACAGGCTCAGAAGGGGCCTTTTATAATTTCTTGGGGTATAAGGAGATGGACAGAGAATTCTACTTTCAGACTTATGAGATTTTGTTAATTTTGCCTTATAATAAAGTAAAATCAACTGTTCTGGACAGATTTCCTGACTGGTTAACCTGCTAAGGCTGACAGCTTTAGAATTTGTGTTTTCTAATGGCAATTCAATCTACTTGATTGTGATCCTTTCAAAATAAGAGTACTTTCTTTCAATGTATTCTTTTAAATACATTAATTTGCCACAATTCCCCAAGTATGAATTTGTAATATTGTACAATATTTTATTTGAAGAACATAGAAAGTTTATCTTGTTCTCATTAGCCAGCCCTCTAACAAACTAACAACCCAGTTTTTATAATAGGTGGATGGCAACAAGAGCTAATTATGGGATTTCTTACTACAGAACCCTAGGGCTGAGTTGGTGATGTGTATGACTTCCATTTAGATCAGTGGTGGCGAACCTATGGCATGTATGCCAGAGCCGGCACTTGGAGCTCTCTCTGTGGGCACGCACACCGTTGCCCCAGCCCCGCCTCCCCCCGCGGCCCCCTCATCAGCAGCCCCCCTGGAGGAGAGTCGCCCCCAGGCTCAGCCTGCATGGAGTAGCGCAGCCAAGAACATGGCAGCCAGGCAGCAGGAACAAGACTCCGTCCTCATGCCCTTCACATGCAGATGCTGCTGTGGGGCGGGGCAGAGGGCGTGGCTGCCATGGCACTGCAGGGCTGCCTGGGTGATGTGCTTTGGCAGGCAGTGGAGGCAGTGGGTGGCTCTGCGGGCAGGCGGGGTATGAGCAGAGCGCGGCAGGGGACGGGGCAGTTTTTGGGCACTCAGCCTCTAAAAGGTTCGCCATCACTGATTTAGATTATGTGCATTCAATATTTTTCTGAATGATATATGTCCTGACTTCCTTGCAACCTCCAGTTACATTGGGACTTCAACTCCATCATGGTCCTGCTGTTAGATATTATGGAAGTTACTATATGATACATCTGGCAGGTTGAAGAATGCTGTTGTACATTTAATACTGAACATGTTTAAATTTCATAGTTGTAATAAATCCTACTGCCACATGGCCAAACTAAACACTACATTCTAGTGTTCTCTGAAATTACCTTTGTACCAAGTTTACACTTTTCCATTAGTCATTGTTCTGTCAGATTTTCTCTTCTTCATCAGATATTCCTCATTTTCTAAAGCAAATGTTCATAACTTATGTTGCGTTGCTAAAGACACTGAAAAATCAACATTTTGATTTGTGGGAAAAAATGTGAACAATCCACTGCATAACCAAACACTGGGATTAATTTACTGCATCTGGGGCATATTTGAGATGAAATTGAGAGAGAAAGAAATAGAAGAGATTCAGGAAGTGTGTATATAGGTGAGGAATGAAGATTGTATAAATAGCAATAAGTGACTACCAACAACAATAGTGAAATTTATGAAACAAACTAGCTTTCACACTTGCTCAATAAACTATTTTATTGATTGAACAAAACCCCTTCCACCATTTTTTGGATATGTTAAATCCCATCAATAATAATAATAATAATAATAATAATAATAATAATAATAACAACAACAACAACAACAACAACAAAGTTGGAAGCGACCTTGGAGGTCACCTATTCCAACCCCTTGCTCAGGCAGGAAATCCTATAGCATTTCAGACAAATGGCTGTCCCGTCTGTTCTTAAAAACTTCCAGTGTTGGAGCATTCACCGCTTCTGGAGGCAGATTGTTCCACTGATTAATTATTTTGTCAGGAAATTTCTCCTTAGTTCTAGGTTGCTTCTCTCTTTGGTTAGTTTCCATCCATTTCTTCTTATCCTGCCTTTAGGTGCTTAGGAGAATAGCTTGACTCCCTCTTCTATATGGCAGCCCCTGAGCTATTGGAACACTGCTATCATGTCACCTGTCGTGCTTCTCTTCATTAAACTAGACATTCCCAATTCCAGTAACCGTTTGTTTATATGTTTTAGTCTCCAGTCCCCTAATCATCTTTGTTGCTCTTCTCTGTACTCTTTCTAGAGTCTTTTTGCATCGTGGTGATCAAAATTGGATGCAGTATTCCAAGTGTGGCCTTACCAAGGCATTGCAAAGTAGTATTAACACTTCACATGATCTTGATTCTATCCCTCTGTTAATGCAGCCTAGAACTGTGTTGGCTTTTTTGGCAGCTGCAACACACTACTGGCTCATATTTAAGTGATTGTCCACTGGGACTCCAAGATCCCTCTCACAGTTACTACTATTGAGCAAGGTACCACCTATACTATACCTCTGTATTTGGTTTTTCTTGCCTAAATGTAGAACTTTACTTTTTTCACCACTGAATTTCATTTTGTTAGATAGCACCCAATGTTCAAGTCTGTCGAGATCCTTCTGTATCTTAAGCCTATCTTCTGGAGTGTTGGCTATTCCTGCCAGCTTGGTGTCGTCTGCAAATTTGATGAGTTCCCCGTCTATCCCCTCATCCAAATCATTGATGAAGATGTTGAAGAGCAGTGGGCCCAGAACAGAGCCCTGGGGCACCCCACTACATATTTCCCTCCATGTAGGTACAGTTCCATTGAGGACCACACACTGAGTACAGCCGGTCAGCCAGCTACGAATTCATCTGGTGGTGATGCTATCTAACCCCCATTTTTCTATCTTATCAAGTAGTAGGTTGTGATCTACTTTATCAAATGCCTTACTGAAGTCCAAGTAAATTATATCCACAGCATTCCTCTGATCCATTACTTTTGTCACTTGGTCATAGAATGCAATAAGATTTGTCTGGCATGATCTGTTTTTGACAAATCCATGTTGGCTTTTGGTAATGACTTTGTTTGCCTCTAGGTGTTTGCTGATTCGTTACTTGATTATCTTTTCCAAGATCTTCCCAGGTATTGAGGTCAGGCTGATAGGCTGATAGTTATGCATTAGGTTATTTCACAAATGCAAAAAATCCAATTCACATCTAATGGATATATGGATTTTCTTTCTATTAATTCATTACATTGAGGGGTTATTACTACAGGATAGGAATTGCAACTTTCCCTTGGTTAGGATCAGAGGCTATGCCACTATCACCATTTCCTCTTCCCTTCTCCGCCTCACCATTCATTCTCATTGGTCCAGGCAGAGGACTTGTGGCTCCATTTGAACTAAGAGTGGCTAGTGAAATCATCACCAAAATGACTTGGTAGCCATGGATGTGGAGAGGGCTCACATGAGTAGCTGTACAGGTAGTTGCTCTCTCCGCCTTTCTTATGGTTCAGGTGGGCATATTTTTTTATTGGGATTGTGGGCTGGATCACTTTGGATAATGGGTCACATCCAGCCCATGAACTGTAGGTTGCTAATCCCTGTTCCACGGTCAGATAATTTTAATCAAATGTTGTTTTCAACTTTTTCCACTTGTGGGATTGAAGTAAAACCACTTTCTCATCCTAAAATTGAAGAAAAGTTTTGACTGAGAGATAGGGATAAGATAAATCACACTAAGAGGATAGAAACTAGAAACGGATTGTGGCCTTACGATAGCCTCAGTATGGAACACACTGCCTTCCTCTCTGTTGTACTCAATAAATCCATTAAGGCAGTGCTTTTCAGAAGGGAGTTCCATTTCATTGGTGGCAATGTTAGATAGGGAGGTTAGTGATTATGCTTTTATTAATGTGATTTTAATTCTATGCCTTATTATTTTTATGGGCGTAAGCTGCCTGGGGTTATTGATAAGGCAGCAAACAATTAAATAAATTAAAGATGTACTCAATAAAAAGAAATTACAGTATAAATTGAGACTTAGTAACGTACAAGATGCAAATTCAGGCACTACCTTAGTTGTTCCCAAATATTCCTAATGGTTTTATTTTATGTAATGATATCTTTGTAATTGGCAGTCTACTGTTATTTTGTACTTTTTGCTCTATGGTAATACTCTTTTAAGACTAATTACAAAGTTTTTCTACACATCTTTATATTTATGGCAGGTACAGGCAATATTTGAGAGATCAGGGACTGCAATCCAGCCGTCTGATCTTCAGTACAATTGCAGAAGGCAAGTCATTTTGTAGGCAGGGTAGCAGATTTTAAGAATGGGAATGGGAATAGAAGACCTTCAAGAAAGAAAGCCACTTAATTTCCAGTTCTTCTCAAACCCCGTGACACAGTCTAAAATCACACTTTTGGGAAATTTGTGTCCTTTTGTCAGGGATTGTGGCAGAATTGGTATTACAGAGCAAAAAATCATCACCAGATTTCAAACATTTTGCTGCCAAATTTTGGTGTGGAATAATCCTTGGGTGCAGAAGGTATACATGGCATATGGACTATCTTAATTTATATTCATCTTACAGTATTTCAGTTCTTCCTTTCTTACTTTATGTTTTGTTAAACAAAGTAGGTGTCTTTGTGTTGAGAGAAAACATTAATGATATACAAATGAGGAGGAGAGGGAAATCAGAACATTTATCCAGGCCTGTAAAAAAAGACTGATTCAAATATATTATCAATCCATTGCTACAGATCAAGTGTAGATTATTCTTTATAGTAATTTACAGTATTCTTTACATTTGATCTCTAGCAATCCATTGCCAAGAAAAACATTGTATCCTTGAAATGAGGGGTCCTTGGTGCACTCTGAGCTCTGTTATTTTCTTGCAGATATTTCTTTACCCAAACTAGGTATTATCATCATTAGCTTTGATGGTATTACGTAGTTTGGATAATGAAACATCTGCAAGAAAACAACCAAGCTCAAAGAGCACCAAGGACCCCTCATTTCAACACTGAGCTACAAATATTCTCTTTTATTGGTATCCTTGACAAGCTACAATCATTTGAAAGTAACTTTGACACTCCTGTAAATTTTGCAAAATGTTGCAAAATGACACCCTTGGAGTACACAGAAACCAAATTGATCCTATTAGAGGGAATCCTCAACTTGCAACCACAATTGAGCCCAAAATTTACATTGCTAAGCAAGACATTTGTTAAGTGAGTTTTGTTCCATTTTACAACCCTTCTTTCCACAGTTGTTAACTGAGTCACTGCAGTTATTAAGTTAGTAACACGGTTGTTAAGTGAATCTGGCTTCCCCGTTGACTTTGTTTGTCAGAAGGTCGCAAAAGGTGATCACGTGACCCTAGGATACTGCAACCATCATAAATATGAACCAGTTGCCAAGCATCCAAATTTTGATCCCATGACCACGGGAATGCTGCAACAGTCGTAAGTGTGAGAAATGGTCATAAGTCACTTTTTTCAGCCCCAAACAAACAGTTGTAAGTCAAGGACTACCGTATATTCCGGCGTATAAGGCGACCCGGCGTATAAGACGACCCCCGTCTTCGTCGCCGAGTCACATGCCTAGAAAGTTGTCTTATATGCCGGAAACTACCATTATTTCCAGGGTATAAGACGACTCGGCGTATAAGACGACCCCCGACTTTGGTGCTGATTTTAACGCTTGCGAAAGTCGTCTTATGTGCCGGAAAGTACGGTACTTGTATTGCCACAAGGAGATGGAAGAGCTCAGTTATACATGGCCAAGGGCCAACTGGAAAAGATCATAAACTAAGTTTCAAATTAGATTAAAGCAGAAGGGGGCCAACCAATTTCCACAACATGTTCCTAACTTTATGTCTATCATCTTCCAATACCAATACCATCACTGTATTACTATTAAGGGTCATTCTTTTAATTGCGAATTAACTACTTTCTGATTCTTTTAGGAGAGACTGGCTCAAATCTGGACCAGAAATACTACTGTGCCTATGCATTTTGCTGTCTAACCAATTGCTCTTCTGTTTCCTTTTCAGTCTTAGCTGCCGACGATGTATAATTGTGGGAAATGGTGGCATTCTAGCAAACAAATCTCTGGGCTTGAAAATTGATGACTATGACATTGTTATCAGGTGAGTTGTTTCAGCAAAAGAGAAGAGGAAATAGTGTATGGGCCATATATATATAAAATGTTATATTTTTTGTCTTAAAAAGAGGCAATAGGTCTTATTTTGGAGGGATGTCTTACATTAGGACTGCCACAGCCAGGCCTCCCACGCCCCGACACCAGTTGCGCCGCTGCTTGATTTCTTCAGCAGCTGCTTGCCGCCCCTTGTGGCTGGACACCACATGGTGCATTGCGTTGTTTCCACTGCTCGTGGCAGGAGGTCACATGGTGGTGCTTCACGCTGTTGCTGCCGCTCATGGCACAAAGTTGCATGGTGCTTCAGGAAGCCGCATGATGCTTCATGCAGTTGCTGCTGCTTGTGGCAGGAAGCTGTGCAGCACATCAGGGCATTTCTGCTGCTTGTGGAAGGAGGACACATGGCGCTTCAGACTGTTGCCACCGGCCCAAAGCACTGTGTGGTCTTTGCTGCAAGCGCCAGAAACAGACCGAAGCATTGTGCGGTTTCCTACCACAAGCGGCAGTACCGGCGTGATGAGCCACGTGGCATGACAAGCATTGGGGCGTGGAACACCTGGCTGCAGCATGTGCCTTGCCCCAAAACTAGGGCTTATTTTTGGGGTAGGGCTTATATTAGGCTTGCCCCCCAAAATCAAGCTAGGGTTTGCTTTTGGGGTAGGTCTTACTTTTGGGGATGTGTGTGTGTGTGTGTGTGTGTGTGTGTTATCACCTAGATGACCAATGTGCAGCTGTCATTTATAATACTATAAATGGCAGAAAAGTTGAAATTAACAAAAATAACAGCCATCAATTATTCAATGTTTGAATACTTGGTTCTTTCTTCAGCATTTGAAATGACCCTTTGATTAGAATCCATTATTTTATTTTTATTGAAACAATCCTAATTACATCATTCTCATATTAGTTCAGCTTCCTAATCTGGTGCCTGCCAGATATGATCAATTTCAAGCTTTCCAAATTCCCAATCAGGATGTATTAACCTATTTTACTTAAAATTAGGCATAATTGATAGCCAACATGCTGTTGAAGATATTGTATTATACATGTAATTGTTAATTCTAAGGAGCAGTTGCTGCAGGGGTGCATGCAGTTCATAAGGAAGTGAGATTTTGTGGAAACCACAATCCTGTTTTCCCACTTTGCTCAGAATATCTTCCTCATCAGTCGTGTCCAACCCTCAACCACTCATTCAGCTCAGAGCAGAAGGAATGATTAAAGGGTTAAAAGGCCCAGCTTTCCTACACCAAATTTGTTTACTGCACAACTCCTACTGAGGATTAGGAACAGCTTAGAAGGTAATAAAAGGAAAGGCTTCAAGGCTTTTCCTACGCTCTCAAATGAAAAAAACTCTTTTCCAAAATTATTTCAAAATGGGATTCTTGGCAAGGAAGATAGAAATAGCTATCTTCTGAAGTGTATGTCACAACACTTTGCCTTTGATGTGATCTTGAATTTAATGTTTTTGTATCTGATCTGCAATTTGTGTGTTTTAATATAGGACAGTAATGAACCTCATTATTTGCAGAGGTTATATTCCAGAATTCCATTCATAGAAAATACTCAGTGTAACTTTTAGATAAATTAAATTCTGGCCACTCAAAGCTGTATTGTTTTTTCACTTATGATAGTAGAGTTGACAGTTGATAAAATGTCACTGTGCTGAGAACATATAATTGACATGACAATTATAGAACTGTTCAAGTAGGTTATTTCAGCTGTATTTGTTTATGTATTGATATCCCACCTTTATTATTTTAATCAATAACTCAAGGAGGTGAACATATTCCCTTAGATGAGAGAATATAAGGGGAACTCATCAGATTTGCAAATGACACCAAACTCGCAGGAATAGCCAACATCCCAGAAGACAAGCTCAGAATCCAAAAAGATCTTGACAAACTTGAACAATGGGCCCTATTCAACAAAATGAATTTTAATGTGGAGAAAAGCAAAGTTTTACATTTAGGCAGGAAAAATCAAAGATATAAGTACATGTTAGATGAAACCTGGCTCAAAAACAGTAACTGAGAGGGACCTTGGAGTCCTAGTGGACAATCACTTGACTATGAGCCAACAGTGTACAGCAGCAGCCAAAAAAGCTAATACAGTTCTGGGTTGTATAAACAGAGGCATAGAATCAAGATCACGTAAGGTATTAGTGCCACTTTATAAAACCCTAGTAAGACCACACTTGGAATACTGCAACCAATTTTGGTCACTATATCACAAAAAGGATGTTGAGAGTTTGGAAAAAAAAATTCAGAGAAGAGCAACTAAGATGATCAAAGGCCTGGAGACTAAAACATATGAAGAACGGCTGCAGAACTTGGGTTTGGTTAGTCTAAAGAAAAGAAGAAATAGGGGAGACATGATAGCAGTATTCCAGTACTTTGAGGGGCTGCCACCAAGAAGAGAGGGTCACATTATTCACCAAAACATCAGAAGGCAGGACAAGAACCAATGGTTGGAAACTGACCAAGGAGACAAGCAACCTGGAATTAAAGAGAAATTTCCTAACAGTGAGGAGAATTAACCAGTGGAACAGCTTGCCTTCAGAAATCATGGGCACTCCATCACTAGAGGTTTTAAGAAAAGACTGGACAGTCACTTGTCTGTAATGGTGTAGGTTCTCCTGCTTGAGCAGGGGGCTGGACTAGAAGACCTCCAAGGTTCCTTCCCGCTCTGTTCTATTCTATATCTAATATTCCTTCCTCCTCCTATTTTTTCCACAACAATAATCTCATGAGGTGAGTTGGATTGAGAAAGAGACACTAACCTAATGTCACTAGCTAACTTTCATGCCTAAGGTAAGAATACTCAGTTTCCTGGTTCCTAGCCTGGTGCTTTAACCACTAGACTAAACTGGCTACACTCTGTAGCACATATTCCAGTCATTTCTAACTGAACCACAGTTTGATGGTTTAGATTTTTTTCCCCCCAGTAATACTGCTGTAATTTCTAGTTATTTATTTGGAAGGTTTAGGTTGGAAGTTCTTTCCCCCTTTATTAAATGACACCACCTTAAAATTGTCTCTGTTATAGGAGACTTAAGTCTCCATGAATCAAATAGATTTCTGAATTCTTGGAAGAATGTTTCAGCTGATATAACCATGATTTTGAGGAAGCTCTGATTTCATTAGGGAATAATGATAAGGAATGTACTTTTGAAAGAATAACTCTGAAGTACTTTATCTCTCATTTCAAATCTTCATTTGTTACAATATTTATTTGAGGGTGCTTACCGCAAGGAGGCTGAGGGTTTGGTGAACTGGTGTAAGGAAAACAGCCTAGGTTTAAACATTGGAAAAACCAAAGAAATCATTGTCGATTTCAGAAAAGGCAGGCACAGCTATACTCCTCTGTGCATTAATGATTCACCTGTGGAGATAGTTACCAAAATCAAATTCCTGGGTATGCAGTTAACAAGTTGACTGGCTTGGTCACTCAACAGTGAGACACTGGTGAAGCAGGCACAGCAGTGCCTGCATTTTCTGCACATGAGAAAAGCACATCTTCCTTCCCCTATTCTTACCACTTTCTACAGAGGGACGATCAAGAGCATTCTGTCATACAGCATCACAGTCTGGTTTGGAAGTATCACTGCTTCAGACAGGAAGACGGTACAGAGAGTGGTGAGGATAGCTGAAAATATTATTGGCAGTTCCATCCAGGACATAGCATATAAGGGTCTGCAAGATTGTCTGGGACAGTATACATCCTCTTCATGACCTGTTTTCTTTACTACCTTCTGAGAGGAGGCTTCGTGGTATCCGAAGCAGAACATCCAGATTCAGTCACAGTTTTGTTCCATACAGTATTAATCTTGTGAACTCTAAAGCTTCCTCCTTCCGTTATGTATTCAAGATGGACAGTGATTAATATTTATATGTTACTTATATGTAAGGATGTAGGTCTATACGTATGTTGTATATAGTATGTTTAAATGTGTATTACGTATATGTACACTTTGAGAGCAGGCAACTAAATTTCATTTTTAATGTGTGCCATTGTGCCCAGAGTAAAAAATGAGAATAAAGGTTATCTATCTATCTATCTATCTATCTATCTATCTATCTATCTATCTATCTATCTATCTATTTGAACACTGTACCTCTAACACACTGCAATTCTATCAAAAACTTTGATTAAATCATAACACTGAAAATTTAGTACAGAAAAAAACTTTTTAGCAGCAACTTCTATGTTATAAAAAAGAAGTGCAAAAATAATATGCAGAAATGAGAAGGGATTCTAGGAATTCTTTTGTATAACTTAATTAAAAAATAGTGCGCCTGGTATCTTTAAATGAGTATTTTTCCCAAGTTTTGTTTGTAGTAAGCTGGGAAATATGGGAAGTATCAAATTGCTAAAGGAATTTGTTCTTCTTCTTTGGTTTAATTGAAGACTCAAGAAATAACATGATTTTAACAAGGTTTAATTATTCTTGCCTCCTTAAAATTTGTATACCATTTAAAATTTTTAATTCTAACATTTTCATCCTTATATCTGTTTCATATTTTGAAGTTTTATTATACACTGCCTAGAGTCCCTCTTTGAGGGGCATGGCAGTTCAGGAATGTAAAATATAAATAAATAAAAAATAATTTTTTGCCAATATTAATACTTTATCCATACAACATATAATCACATATCTTGCCTCCAAAAAATAGATCATTTATAGTGTAAACTAATGGCAGTATCAGCCAGTTCTGATTTTTGCTTTATTTACTGCTTATTGCTTTATTGGCAGTAACAATCTTCAATAATCTGAGTGTGATGCCTTTGCAATTTTTACTGAACTGGAGTTCCTGACATTGATTTTTGTTACACAAAACCTTGAACTCAAATATAAATACAATTCATAATTTTTGTCTAATCTCCTGGAAGGTTGAATTCTGCTCCAGTGAAAGGCTTTGAAAAAGATGTTGGTGGCAAGACAACAATGCGGATAACGTATCCAGAAGGGGCTATCCAGAAACCTGAGCAGTATGAGAAGGATTCCCTATTTGTACTGGCAGGATTCAAGTGGCAGGATTTCAAGTGGCTAAAGTACATTGTTTATAAGGAAAAAGTGGTAAGATAAAGGTTGTTTTTTTTCCTCCTTGGAGGAATTCCTGATGTTTCAGGGTTATTCACTTATAATTACAACATTGATGACCAAAGAGGTGAAATGATAAAGTGTATGTGATTACAGTGATCACAAAAACTGCAATTTGCATCAGAAATTGCTTATATGTAAGGGCTTGATCTGTATTATGACATCATCTCACATGTGCTGTTACTTTGATATAATCTCAGTTTGCTACAGAAGCTTCTGAAATAGAACTTAGTTACCGGCTCAGTATTTATGCTTCTTATATACTTACTTCTACGGAATAGCATCTGTCTTAACAATGGGTCCTGAGTTCTTCCCCAAATAACCTGGGCATTAAAGTTTATTAAATTCAACTGAACTTTTTTTATACAGAAATAAGAAATCTGGGATGGCAACACATAACAAATAATTGATATTGATAGAGTGAAAGGAGCACATTTCTGCAAGCTGCCTGCTGGGAAAAATCAATAACAAGATTGATAAGCAGGTAGCCATGGGTAATAAATTCAGACTAAAGACTGGACAATATATTTGGAGACTGACTAGTCAATCATCATGTGTCTTGCATCCTAACCAATACAGTTTTAGAAACCATATGTAAATACATTTTTATAGAGGTTTTTCATTTGTACTTGAATATAAAATGATGAAACTATTTTTATTTATGTTTGCAAACTTTGAAGGTTATTTTTGTTCTTACTTCTAAGTTACTTTTTGTTCTGTTCTTTCAATTATTTGAAACATATACTATGCTGCATGAGTAGAACATGTTTATAAACCTTAATAGCAAATGTAGGGGACACTATGCTTTTAGTTGGGAATTATTGTCATTCTTAAATCTGTTTTATTAGAAAACATTAAGCAGAAATATATTTCAGAAATACAGATTCTGCCAAGATTAGATCAGACTCTTTTGAAATAATTAAGTTAACCTGGGAGCAGAGTTGAGGTTTATGCAAGGAAGGTATTTAGTTGGTTGATTCAAAGATAATTCCTTGCGTCAGAAAAAAAAATCACCTGGAGGGGATTCTCCTTGAACATCTGCTTTGTGTTGGCCAAGAAGGCAAGCAAGGGCAAATGTTTATTTGGATATTGGTAATTTCTAGGTTTTTCCCTCTTACTTGAATATACCCAATTTCACCAATAATCTGCCCAAACATGAATTTACAGAGGAAGTGCCAGTGGCATCAGGATATAGCCTTTATTAGTGGAAGTCTGATGGTGAGTGAACATTTGCCTGCAAGTGCAGCTATGTTAAAACACTGCTTGTTGCACAGGCATCTGTGAGTCACAATGTGCAGGGGAGCCATTGAGGATCAATTAGGGTTCAGTTGTATTTCATCAAAGGAATGAGAATATATGTGCTTCCTTGCCATCTCAATCTGTATGTGCATCAGTTTAGTGACTAATGTATTTTGAGGATATGAATAATTATTTATCAAAGAAAACAAGGTCTAGTGTTAGTCAAAATATTCCTTCTAGATGGTATAAGAGAAATTCCCCATTTTATATAGTATAGAGGACTAGTCATGATTTGTTTTTGAAATATGAGATACGAAGAGGTTGTGTGAACACAAAGTACATATTTATTGGAGGAAAATATTGCTGTCTCCATATTTCTTATTTCTGTTTATTCTCTGAGGAATTATTGGCTGAGTTCACTTTAGAATCATAGAGACTTTTCACTATCATGACAGTAAGATTTGTAAAGAGGTGGACTAGAATATAATGCAGTCTAAAGTAATAACTAATTTTTCCTTGTTGAATAGCTTATTGTGACCTCTGATACTTTCTCATTAACTATTGTTTGTCATCACACATCTGAATTCCCTTTTAGACAAAAGCTACACAAAAACATGCACTTTCACCCTGAAAGCCGATGCACAGTCCAAATAGGTTAAAACTAATCCATCTTGCACCAAAGAGGAAATGAATTCTCTAGAATGCTTAAGAATGAGTCACAGTCATGAGGGGAAAGCAAAGGGAGAGGCAGAAAGCAGATCTGTCAAGCCGACTACTTCCAGAAGGTATTAATACACGCAGGGACTAGAACATAAATTTCCCTTTACTTCACCTCCTTTGTCTTGTTCTTGTGAGTTAATTTTGCCAGATACATCTACAGGCATTACAATATATGTCAAGAAACATTCTTGGAGGACAAAAAAAAAAGGCTTATTTCATCCTGCTGCAATCTGCCTGTCTATATACTATTAAAACTCTTGTATCTGTTTGATATTTTGAAACCTTCAAATGTAATCTACAATTAGGTGTAATGGTGTTATAGGGCAACAGTTTTTGAGTCAATATACTTCAAATGGCTAACTTAAAGAATCCACCCAAAATCTAGCAACTATGACTGCTACAGGAGAGAAATTTGGCAAAGTTGTGGCCTCTTCAGCTCCATCACACCTTTCAACTACACTTCCCAAAAATCCATAGGTTCTGTGGCGCAAGGGAGTGGAGGGGTGTATCCCTATCCTCTTATCCACCTCACCTCCTCAACTAAGAGGTCAGCAGGGATTGTCTGCTTTGGAATCGAAGCTGATATTTCAAATACAGATAATCCTCAACTTACCACCACAATTGAGCCCAAAATTTAGGTTGTTGGGTAAGTACGTTATGCCCCATTTTATAACCTTTCTTGCCACAATTGTCAAGTGAATCATTACAGTTGTTAAGTTACTAACATGGTTGTTAAGTGAATCTGGCTTCCCCATTGACTTTGCTTGTCAGGAGGTTGCAAAAGCTGATCACATGACCCCAAGACACAGCAGCTGTTATAAATACGAACTGGTTGCCAAGCATCCGAATTTTGATCACATGACCATGGGGATGCTGCAACAGTTGTGAGTGTGAAAGATGGTCATAAGTCACTTTTTTCAGTGTTGTTGTAATTTTGAACAGTCACTAAATGAATTGTTGTAAGTTGAGTACTACCTATATCTTAATGGCAGTGGGCAATAAGGGAAAGAAAGAAGAAAGCAATTTGGATGTCTACTGCTGAAATAGGGCTGACTGGGTGTGCCAGCAGTCAACAGGTAAGTCCTTTTTTCCCCTGAAGGGAAGGGGCTCTTGGGTACACACTGGGATGATGAGTATGTGTGCAGGTTACTTCATGGTCACCACCTCTTTTTGTTTGTCTTTCCCTAGCAAAGTGACAAGTAGTTCCCTGGTTGGAACTGCGGAGGAGAATGATGATATCTGATGCTCCCTGTCAGCTTCCCACAAGCAACGTCAATTAGGAAGCTATCAGGAAGTCAGAAATTATTCCCATTGTCACTGCTTTTTTGCCTACCCATGGTCACTGTCTTATTCTATTTACTCTTATTCTTTAGTCTATTTCTGAAAGAATGACCCAACAAGTCATGGGTTGTTAAGTATGCTACTAAAATTCTTGTGTCTCTTTGATATTTTGTAATTGTCAATTGGGTGAAGTAATACATCATAGAGCAACAATTTTTGAATCAATTTACCTCAAAAGGGCTAATTTATGGAATGCATCCAAAATTCAGGACTCATGACTTAACGTGGGATTTGGCTCCAGCATCACCACTCTATTCAACTACACTTCTCAGAAACCTGTAGGTTGTGTAGTGTAAGGATATCCCTGTCCTCTTTCCTGCCTCCTCTGGCTCCTGCACCTAATCAGCTGGCAGCAGAGTTTGACTAAGTGAGTAGCCATTGGCTGCTTTGGAACCAAGGCTGAAATTTGTAATCTTTTAAGGATGGTAACTGGTGAGGGAACAATGAGGGAGCAACTTGGATACCTGCTGGCAAGGTAGGGATGGCTGGGGGAACTGGCAGCCAGGTGAGTCACTTTCCTCCCTGGAGGGAGGACTCCCTTGGGGACAGAGCAGAGTGATGGAGAATGTTGTATTTTTCCTTGTGGTCTGTATCTCCCTTGGTATCCCTTCCCTACAATAAAGTGGTAGAGATTCCACGGGGCAGCTGAGGAAAAGGAGGAGGCTTCACCAGGGCTCTCTTAAGAGGAGGTGAAGCAGCATATGGAAAGAGGAAGGATGGGGGATCAACTGGGTTGCCTGCTGGTGAGGCAGGGCTGCCTGGATTCAGCTGGTGACAGATGAAACATCTTCCTCCCTGGAGAAGGCCCTTGGGGAACACTGGAATGGCAAATGGGGGTGTTGTGAAAAATGCAAATTACACCTAGCACTCAATATATATGCAATTGAAAATTATATCTTCTGTAATGAAACTGCAGGCAATCCGCATATGTTTCTGGGGAATTTCCCATACAGGTAAATGCTTGAATCGGATTACAGGTGGTTCTTGATTTCTGACCACAATTGTGATCAGAATCTCAGTTTTTGAAAGCAACACGGTCGTTAGCAATATGTCATAAGACTGCTTCATCCAACAATCACAATTCTGGCACTCCCAGTTCTGGTCATTAAGCAATCTCCTGAGTCATTAAGTGGATGGAACAAAAGAGCTGATATCCTTTGGCAAGTAACTCTTTCAGAACAAACGGGCCGCCTGTCAGAGAGTTTCAGCCCTCCCTCTTTCAGCCAGCCCCCAGAGACGGTGTGTGCCCTCTCTGTGGGCACACGCACCGTCTTGCCAGCCCCGCCTCCTCCCACAGCCCCCTCCTCACCAGCAGCCCCCCTGGAGGAGAGTCACTCCTGGGCGTAGCCAAGGACATGGTAGCGTAGCCAAAGACATGGTAGCCGGGCAGTGGGGAAAAGACTCCGTCCTTGGGCCCCATTGCATGCATATAATGCTGCAGGGCACGGGCAGAGGACATGGCCACCATGGCGCTGTTGGGCTGCCTGGGTGATCTGTGACGGGCCGTGGAGGTGGTGGGTGGCCCAGCGGGCAGGGCAGAGTAGGGACAGGTGGGGAGGTGGTTTTTGGGCACTCGATCTCTAAAAGGTTCACCATCACTGATATATGTTGACACAGTACTCTACAAATATTCAAACTCATGCTTATTGAAACCAGAGATTTTTGCATGTAACTCA